GTTTGGAGTGTGACTCCAACCACTAACTGGATAATTGTGTTTGGAGGAAAGAGGAACTTTTCAACAATCATAAGTGATCCAGCAGTTATTGAACTCAGTGAGTACATGTACATGTAGATTTGCTTATTAACTAACTCAAATAATTGATTATAATAATATTGTGTTACTGTATAGGATATACTAGTAATAATGATTGGTCTACTAGTATAATACCTCTGGACCAGTATCAAGAGAAACTACAAGAAAGGAGAAAAGAATGGGAAGCATCTCAACCTGTTCAACCTGAGGATAGAAGAGAATCTCACTGAATGTTGTCTGCTACAGACAAACAGCATCTACCAATATCTGCAAATTGTTTCAATTACTTTTAATTTTTCATTGAGCTATTAAATTAATTTTTATTTCTGACAAAAATCAAATTAATCTCCTAGGGGCTTACCTCTGGTTGTAGCGGAATCTAATGAGGGTTCCATTTCTCTTCTGTCCACTGTTCAAGGAGGCACACTACATATTGTAGTGTGCCTTAATCGGGTTCAGCCACCATAAATCCTGACAATTGGCCATTAGAGGGGAGAGGAGGTAAAGCCGAGCTTTGACATGATTTGCCTTGGCAAGGCATCAGATAGGGCCTAAGCCATCAAACAACAAGGCCACAAATGGTGGGACCTGGAGATACCCTTTGTCTAACTAGTCGAGCAAGGGTACACCATTGAATGTTGATGTGGTTACTATCTTAGTAAAGCAAGGCTATTCAATGTTATGCAATTACATTAAATCTCTCCTCCCCTCTTTAGGCATAAATTTGGCTGCCATTTTGTTTGGAGGTAACGCCCTTCTATGACGTCACATAATCAAGGTGTGGCATTAATTGGAGTTTAAACAGTAGGGTTAGACAAAGTTAATCTCAGGGGGCTCCCCACCAAGCTCATCTGCGCATGCGCATTACTGCGTATATTAACGGGGGGATGAAGGCTCTACTTCAGTCGATCGCTAGATTTGAAAAGACGTAGCAGTCGCTAGCTCTTCACTTTCCTTTGTAAACAGTTACTTGCTGTGTTATTCCTATCTAAAATCGATGGCTACTCCAACTACCACATCTGGTCCTTCGGGATCTAGATCATCGAGTTCTACCAGCACTCCTTCCCTCTCTCAGGTGCAGGAGGAGGTAGTCACCGCTATTCAGCTTGCAGTGAGGAGGGAAGTGCAGTCGGCAGTTGCTAGAGAAGTGGAGGCCGCTGTCTCTAGGGCTGTGTCCTTGGCTATTCCTCCGACTCCTCCGGTTATCCCTCCTATGACAGTGTCTGCTGCAGCTAGAGGTAATGGCTATGCACTCGCCGTTTGACCTATTTACATGTAGTTAGATTGCCTTGTGTCTTTTTGTTGCGTGAACGCCGTTTATGGCAACTCTCGTCCAATTTTTTGAATTTGTACTGCTCTACAGTAGTTTGAATCCACGAAATTGGCGGGATCCTCTCCAGCTGGAGAATTCCGCCCGCACCAATATGCTTGCACGCTGTGAGCATGCTGCCTACATTCCTAAGTTGACCGCAGATGAGCCACGCCTGGCTCG